ACTAAGGGGTGTGTCACAGTGTTTACTTGTTGTAGAGGAAGATATCAGGCAGCCACAGTTTTGTACACGCATTACTAATGGATGTGTCACAGTGTTTACCTGTTGTAGAGGACGATATCAGTCAGTCACAATTTTTGTACACGCGTTAATTAGGGGTGTGTCACGATGTTTTCCTATTGTAGAGGACGATATCAGGCAGTCACAGTTTTGTAAACGCGTTATTAAGGGGTATGTGTCACGGTGTTTACCTATTGTAAAGGACGATATCAGGTAGCCAAAGTTTTGAACACGCGTTACTAAGGGGTGTGTCACAGTGTTTACCTGTTGTAGAGGAAGATATCAGGCAGTCACAGTTTTGAAAACNAGGGGGGTGTCACGGTGTTTTCCTATTGTAGAGGACGATACCATGCAGTCACAGTTTTGTACACGCGTTACTAACGGGTTTGTCACAGTGTTTATCATTGTAGAGGAAGATATCAGGCAGTCACAATTTTGCACACGCGTTACTAAGGGGGGTGTCACGGTGTTTACCTATTGTACAGGAAAATATCAGGAAGTCACAGTTTTGTACACGCGTTACTAAGGGGGGTGTCACAGTGTTTACCTGTTGTAGAGGACGATATCAGGCAGTCACTGTTTTGTACACGCGTTACTAAGGGGTGTGTCACGGTGTTAACCTGTTGTAGAGGACGATATCAGGTAGCCAAAGTTGCGTACACGCGTTACTAAGGGGTGTGTCATGGTGTTTACCTATTGTAGAGGAAAATATCAGGAAGTCACAGTTTTGTACACGCGTTACTAAGGGGTGTGTCACAGTGTTTATCTATTGTACAGGAAGATATAAGGCAGTCACATTTTTGTACACGCGTTACTAAGGGGTGTGTCCCAGGGTTTACCTATTGAAGAGGCCATATCAGGTAGCCACAGTTTTGTACACGCGTTACGAAGAGGTGTACCAGTGTTTACCTATTGTAGAGGACGATATCAGGCAGTCACAGTTTTGTACACGCGTTACTAAGGGGGGTGTCACGGTGTTTACCTATTGTACAGGAAGATATCAGGAAGTCACAGTTTTGTACACGCGTTACTAAGGGGTGTGTCACAGTGTTTATCTATTGTACAGGAAGATATAAGGCAGTCACATTTTTGTACACGCGTTACTAAGGGGTGTGTCCCAGGGTTTACCTATTGAAGAGGCCATATCAGATAGCCACAGTTTTGTACACGCGTTACGAAGAGGTGTGCCACAGTGTTTACCTGTTAAACAGGAAGATATCAGGCAGTCACAGTTTTGTACACGCGTTACTAAGGGTGTGTCACGGTGTTTACCTGTTGTAGAGGACGATATCCGGCAGTCACAGTTTTGTACACGCGTTACTAAGGGGTGTGTCCCAGGGTTTACCTATTGAAGATGCCATATCAGATAGCCACAGTTTTGTACACGCGTTACGAAGAGGTGAGCCAGCGTTTACCTATTGTAGAGGAAGATACCAGGCAGGCACAGTTTTGTACACGCGTTACTAAGGGTGTGTCACGGTGTTTACCTGTTGTAGAGGACGATATCAGGCAGCCACAGTTTTGTACGCGCGTTACTAAGGGGTGTGTCACAGTGTTTACCTATTGTAGAGGAAAATATAAGGAAGTCACAGTTTTGTACACGCGTTACTAAGGGGTGTGTCACAGTGTTTACCTATTGTAGAGGAAAATATAAGGAAGTCACAGGTTTGTACACGCGTTACTAAGGGGTGTGTCACAGTGTGTACCTAATGTAGAGGACGATATCAGGCAGTCACAGTTTTGTACACGCGTTACTAAGGGATGTGTCACAGTGTTTATCTATTGTACAGGAAGATATAAGGCAGTCACATTTTTGTACACGCGTTACTAAGGGGTGTGTCACAGGGGGTGTCACGGTGTTTACCTATTGTAAAGGACGATATCAGGTAGCAAAAGTTTTGTACATGCGTTACTAAGGGGTGTGTCACAGTGTGTACCTATTGTAGAGGACGTATTCAGGCAGTCACAGTTTTGTACACGGGTTACTAAGGGGTGTGTCACGGTGTTTGCCTGTTGTAGAGGAGCAGTCACAGTTTTGTACACGCGTTACTAAGGTAGAGGACGATATCAGGCAGTCACAGTTATGTACACGCGTTATTAAGGGGTGTCACGGTGTTTACCTATTGTAGAGGAAGATACCAGGCAGTCACAGTTTTGTACACGCCTAACTAAGGGGTGTGTCACAGTGTTTACCTATGGTAGAGGAAGATACCAGGCAGGCACAGTTTTGTACACGCGTTACTAAGGGTGTGTCACGGTGTTTACCTGTTGAACAGTAGGATATATCAGGCAGTCACAGTTTTGTACGTCACTGTTTTGTACACGCGTTACTAAGGGGTGTGTCACAGTTTTTACCTGTTGTAGAGGACGATATCAGGTAGCCAAAGTTTTGTACACGCGTTACTAAGGGATGTGCCACAGTGTTTATCTATTGTACAGGAAGATGTAAGGCAGTCACATTTTTGTACACGCGTTACTAAGGGGGTGTCACGGGGTTTACCTGTTGTAGAGGACGATATCAGGCAGTCACAGTTTTTTACACGCGTTACTAAGGGGTGTGTCCCAGGTCACAGTTTTGTACACGCGTTACTAAGGGTGTGTCACGGTGTTTACCTATTGTAGAGGAAGATATCAGGCAGGCACAGTTTTGTACACGCGTTACTAAGGGATGTGTCACAGTGTTTATCTATTGTACAGGAAGATGTAAGGCAGTCACATTTTTGTACACGCGTTACTAAGGGGTGGGTCACAGGGTTTACCTATTGAAGAGGCCTTATCAGGTAGCCACAGTTTTGTACACGCGTTACGAAGAGGTGTACCACAGTGTTTACCTGTTAAACAGGTAGATATCAGGCAGTCACAGTTTTGTAAACGCGTTATTAAGGGGGATGTGTCACGGTGTTTACCTATTGTAGAGGAAGATATCAGGCAGGCACAGTTTTGTACACGCGTTACTAAGTTTTGTACACGCGTTACTAAGGGATGTGTCACAGTGTTTATCTATTCACGCGTTACTAAGGGGTGTGTCACAGGGTTTACCTATTGAAGAGGCCATATTAAGAAGGACCAGTTTTGCAAACGCGTTACGAAGAGGTGTGCCACAGTGTTTACCCGTTAAACAGGAAGATATCAGGCAGTCACAGTTTTTTACACGCGTTACTAAGGGGTGTGTCCCAGGTCACAGTTTTGTACACGCGTTACTAAGGGGTTACCTATTGTAGAGGAAAATATCAGGAAGTCACAGTTTTGTACACGCGTTACTAAGGGGTGTGTCACAGGGTTTACTTATTGAAGAGGCCATATCAGGTAGCCACAGTTTTGTAGACGCGTTACGAAGAGGTGTGTCACGGTGTTTACCTGTTGAACAGTAGGATATCAGGCAGTCACAGTTTTGTACACGCGTTACTAAGGGGTGTGTCACAGGGTTTACTTATTGAAGAGGCCATATACACGCGTTACTAAGGGGTGTGTCACAGTTTTTACCTGTTGTAGAGGACGATATCAGTCAGTCACAGTTTTGTACACGCGTTAGTAGGGGGGGTGTCACGGTGTTTACCTATTGTAAAGGACGATATCAGGTAGCAAAAGTTTTGTACATGCGTTACTAAGGGGTGTGTCACAGTGTTTACCTGTTGTAGAGGAAGATATCAGGCAGTCACAGTTTTGTACACGCGTTATTAGGGGGTGTGTCACGGCGTTTACCTATTGTAAAGGACGATATCAGGTAGGAAAAGTTTTGTACATGCGTTACTAAGGGGTGTGTCACAGTGTTTACCTGTTGTAGAGGAGGCTATCAGGCAGTCACAGTTTTGTACACGCGTTACTAAGGGGGGTGTCACGGTGTTTACCTATTGTAGAGGAAGATACCAGGCAGTCACAGTTTTGTACACGCCTAACGAAGGGGTGTGTCACAGTGTTTACCTGTTGTAGAGGACGATATCAGGCAGTCACAGTTTTGTACACGCGTTACTAAGGGGGGTGTCACGGTTTTACCTATTATAGAGGAAGATACCAGGCAGTCACAGTTTTGTACACGCGTTACTAAGGGGGGGTGTCACGGTGTTTACCTATTGTAAAGGAAAATATCAGGAAGTCACAGTTTTGTACACGCGTTACTAAGGGGTGTGTCACGGTTTTACCTATTGTAGAGGAAGATACCAGGCAGTCACAGTTTTGTACACGCGTTACTAAGGGGGGGTGTCACGGTGTTTACCTATTGTAGAGGAAAATATCAGGAAGTCACAGTTTTGTACACGCGTTACTAAGGGGGGGGGCACAGTGTTTACCTGTTGTAGAGGACGATATCAGGCAGTCACTGTTTTGTACACGCGTTACCAAGGGGTGTGTCACAGTGTTTACTTGTTGTAGAGGACGATATCAGGCAGTCACTGTTTTGTACACGCGTTACTAAGGGGGGTGTCACAGTGTTTACCTGTTGTAGAGGACGATATCAGGCAGTCACAGTTTTGTACACGCGTTACTAACGGGTTTGTCACAGTGTTCATCATTGTAGAGGAAGATATCAGGCAGTCACAATTTTGTACACGCGTTACTAAGGGGGGTGTCACAGTGTTTACCTGTTGTAGAGGACGATATGAGGCAGTCACTGTTTTGTACACGCGTTACCAAGGGGTGTGTCACAGTGTTTACTTGTTGTAGAGGACGATATCAGGCAGTCACTGTTTTGTACACGCGTTACTTAGGGGTGTGTCACGGTGTTTTCCTATTGTAGAGGACGATACCAGGCAGTCACAGTTTTGTACACGCCTAACGAAGGGGTGTGTCACAGTGTTTACCTGTTGTAGAGGACGATATGAGGCAGTCACTGTTTTGTACACGCGTTACCAAGGGGTGTGTCACAGTGTTTACTTGTTGTAGAGGACGATATCAGGCAGTCACTGTTTTTGTACACGCGTCACTAAGGGGTGTGTCACGGTGTTTACCTGTTGTAGAGGACGATATCAGGTAGCCAAAGTTTCGTACACGGGATCCTTAATACTTTCAGTCCATTATAGTCGGCTGGGTCCCAGAATAGTTTCTCGTCGTGCCATTCCTGTAATATTCCACGTGATATGACGTCACACAGGAAGTTACAAATGTACGTCAGATAGAATGTTACATCATAGTGCATGTTATTACAATGTACCTGTTGCACAGGAAACAGGAAGAAAACTTGATTGCTGTGGACCACATTAAACATTTTATTTTTATTATTTTTATTTTCCAGAATATGTTAGTATTTAAAATGTCGCACAATATGATGATCAATAATCCTCTCATCAATTTGAATTTAACAGTCAATGTATCTCAATTCTGTTCTGAGAAAAGTTTTGACAAATGTTTGAAATAATTAAAAACAAATGGATACGTTATACAGGGTCTATCTATAATAATAATAATATACAGCATTTGATATATCGACCTATTTAGCTTGCATAGGCCACTCTGAAGCGTTTTAAAATACATAGATATACAATAAATACAATTAGCATATACATTAGTCAATACAACTTTGAGGAATTCGCAGGAGCTGACTTATCAGGGGCTAACTACTAGTCCTATGCCACCTGGCTAATTTCTCCCCATATGTGTATGCCTGCGTGTGTCCTGAATATGTAATGTGTTCACATATACAATCATACGTCGTTCTATGTCCTTACTGTGTACTGTAATTGAATTAAGTCAATAAATACGTATAACATGTATATTCCACATGATTTCAATATCTAGAATATGATTCTGATTTTATTCCATATCTCAGTGTTTATACAATGTGTCGACCTTGAGCTTTACTATCAATCACATGAAAGTAGTTTTCAGCAGAGCAACACAGAGGGAACCATTATTTAGGAATGCTACATTTGTTACAGTACAGGTAGTGTGTAGTTTGACGTAGTCTTACCTGGTCAAGCCAAACGTTGATGGTCAGCACTTGATTTCGTTCATCCTGGAACAAATTGTAAACAAACATTAATACAGAAACTGAGGAACATCAGAACCCCCGTAACTCGGACACTCACTTTACCGGAAGTTTATGGATTGTAATCATTTAGAGATAAAAAATAATAATTGACCGGAAATCTCACTTTACAAAACTTTTAAGGTTTATTGTTTAAATAATATAGGTGTAATTCTTTTAATATTTTTTTACTTTTTATAAAAAATTTAAGGTTCCCCACACCACTGCCTAAAACTCTTACTACACATAGAAAACTTTGTTTCAGGCATGACTATAGATTTAATCCAGCATTTCTGGACAGAAACCCAGATACATCCCATAACTGTGTTTGAGTGTTAACATTCAACGCGGCTAGACTGGGATTCGAACCGTAGACTTGAAATTTTACAACTAAAATGTATCTCTCTTACCGATAGAGCTCTACCTGGTCAACGAAAGTGTCCTGGCAAATACACGAAAGCGGAACTTAAGGGGAGGGTACGGTATGTACGAACATTTAAATGTAACATTTAATCCGTGTATTACGTGGCCATGGACATAAATTCAACATTTACCTCTTATCAAAGGAAAACTAATTCGATGTAAGACATTCATGTACAATTGTAGCCAATGTTTCGGAAAGTTTTAATTACACTTCAAGGGTCTCTTAAATATTATTTTTTCATGAAAGGATTTGAACGGTTATAGCTTCAGAAATACTCTCCAGAATAGAGTCACGGTAGGTTTTGCTACATGAAACTTTAACGCTATGAAATACATATTGTATATGACACACAGGTGGCTTTGAAGCGTACTTTCTTATGCTGAAATATGCAGTATTTTGATCTGATACGTCAAAGAACGTCAGACACGGGGTTTTTTTCAACGAGAGAGAAAAAGAAAGATAATATGTATTTTTTTTGACACGTTTAATTATTTACATTTTAGTTTTACATCCCCTATAATTAAACCTTTACACTCAAGATGTTATTACAAATGTAAAGTGTATACATTTGAATGTTAACCAATCTGAAAATATTCCTTTATAATGCTGTCTTGCGTAATCGTGAGCAATCATGTAGTGGAGTCATATTCGGATTTTTTACGGAAACTTCCCTATAGTTTCCTAATACTGTTTGCTGTCTTACAGTAAGAGTGCATAGAAAACGCGACTTCACAATGTGTTTAACAAAAACGGAAAGAAAGAATGAAAGAAAAAGAAATCACTATTCACAGAAACGATACTTTCATCCTGAACATATCATCTCATTCTGGTAAGCGAGAATCCTTTAATCAAGATATATTGCCAAGATACATCGCAAACTTATTTCAAAACAAAGCCTCCCCCTCCCTTACCCTTGTCTGTGACGCACGAGTCCCCCTCCCTTACCCTTGTCTGTGACGCACGAGTCCCCCTCCCTTACCCTTGTCTGTGACGCACGAGTCCCCCTCCCTTACCCTTGTCTGTGACGCACGAGTCCCCCTCCCTTACCCTTGTCTGTGACGCACGAGTCCCCCTCCCTTACCCTTGTCTGTGACGCACGAGTCCCCCTCCCTTACCCTTGTCTGTGACGCACGAGTCCCCCTCCCTTACCCTTGTCTGTGACGCACGAGTCCCCCTCCCTTACCCTTGTCTGTGACGCACGAGTCCCCCTCCCTTACCCTTGTCTGTGACGCACGAGTCCCCCTCCCTTACCCTTGTCTGTGACGCACGAGTCCCCCTCCCTTACCCTTGTCTGTGACGCACGAGTCCCCCTCC